CGTGATTTCCCTCGCTGAACGAATGGCTTCGGCCAAGGGTTCCAAAGCTATAATGTATAGAAGGAACGACAGGGGACACCCCTGTCGCGACCCGTTCGTTATGGGGAAGGGTGTGGATTGAAATCCCGATGTGAAGACCTGGGCTTCGGGGTTGCTATACAGCGATTTGACTACTGAAATGAAATGTGTGGGGAAGCCGAATTTCGACATGACCGCCTGCAGAAACGGCCAAAACGGTGTGTAATAATTTGAGGGCTTTGCGCCTTCTATCAGTTCCCTGTCTACCATGCACAAAGCCAACCTGGTCAGGGTGTATAATGGTCGGGAGTATATTCGTCAGGCGATTGCCGTATACTTTTGCTAGGATCTTCACGTCTGAGTTTAGTAGGGAAATGGGTCGGAAGTTGGCGCATTGGGTCGGTGGTTTTCCTGGTTTAGGAGGTGTGGCTACATTAGCTGCAAGCATATCTGGTGACATGGATTCTAGTGCGGTGGTGGATGTAAAGAGCGAGACCAGTCGGGGGGCGAGGATGGAGGAGAACTTTTTGTAGTACACATTAGGGAGCCCATCTGGGCCAGGGGCTTTATTTAGTGGCAGATTTTTTATAACTGTTTCTACTTCTAGTCGGGAGATGGGTTCTGCTAGAGATTTTTGTTGTGCGGCCGTTAGTCTAGGTAACTCAACTCCCCCTAGGAAACTAGCCATCTCCCCTTCAGTGGGTTGGTGGACTGTGGGGTCAAATTTTAATTTATAGAGTTTTCCATAGAACTCCGCAAAGAGGTTACTGTTGTCTTGGGGTTTAATCACTTTTTTCCCGTCATTTGTGAAGAGGTGGGATATTTTGATGTGGGCCTGTGCTTCTTGGAGCCGGCTCGCTAAGAGCGAACCTGCTCTGTTACCCATACAGTATTCTCTGGTTTTCAGTCTATGAAGTGTACGCGTTGTGTTGGCTATATTGATGCCATTCATTTCCGATTGGAGTTGTGTTAGGAGTTCAGCGTCCTTTGGGTTCGGGTTAATCATGTGGGATGCTGAAGCATCCCTCAGCTTTCTCAGCAAGTTCAAGAATCTAGCTTGGGAGATCCACTTGAGGTAAGAAGCTCGTCTTATAAACAAACCGCGTACTACTGCCTTGTGGGCTCTCCATACTGATGTCGGGGGTGTCTCCGGTATTTCGTTAGTGGAAAAGTATTGCTTGAGTTCGGATTCTAACTCCAAGCTAAACTTTTCATCTCACAGCAGCGATTCGTTTAATCTCCATGGGTTACAACCCAGATACCTAAAATCATCTCTAAAAGGTTGCAATCACTGGCGCATGGTCAGACCATAAAATGTCTCCCAAGATACATGATTGGATCAGGTTGAGGGAGGGGCCTGATATTAGTAACATGTCTATTCTCGAGTAAGATTTGTGAGGTTTGAAGTAGTAGGAGTATCCTCTGTCGGAGGGGTGAAAGGTTTGCCAGCTATCGTATAGGTTAAATTTCATCAGAAGTTGTGTCAGGGCTTTGCAATTTGGTTTAAGGGATTTTTGTCTGCTCGTGTGGGGGGGCGTAGAGGTATCAAGGTGGGGGTCTAGAATATGGTTTATGTCTCCGCAAATAACAGTATTGCCCCTCTGCACAGCTGCCACCTTTGTGAGCACACTAAACAGAAAATTTTGATGGTTCTTATTTGGTGCGTACAGGTTTACTAATGTATAAAGTGCGTTGTTCAGTAAACAGATAATCAGATATCTGCCCTGATTATCCCAAAAAATTTTGTAGCAGTTCAAAGGCAATTGAGCTGTGAACATATATTGATACTCCCCTAGATTTGATACATAGGATGAGTGAAACTGGTTGGGAAAATGTTTCATGCCAAATTGTTTTTTTTTTTTGCTTTAGTGAAATGAGTTTCCTGAAGGCAGCGTATGTCCGCCTTCAGTTTGCGAACCTCCTTGAGTAGCATGTGTCTTTTGTGGGGCATGTTGAGTCCCCTAACATTATGGGAGTAGATCTTCAGTGTGAGTTACAAGTAAATCAGTTAGTTAAGCGAGTGAGGGCTACAGTTGGGGGTAGGTGCCCTACCCCATGTAAGGTGGGGAGGGAGCTGAGTAAAATTTCTAGCTAGATCATAACTGATGAAGGCGGCCAGATGCTTGGCGTGGGGGGCAGGGGTTAAACCAGGGAGAGAAGACAGGGGTGTTGGAGGGGGGTATGAACTTTAAACAAAAGTATATACAAATAAGCCCGATCTCGGTGCATGGCACAGAGGCACAGCGACGTGGGGGGCGTAGGATCAGAGGTGGTGGACAGTCGTTGGCCTGAGCAGGCTAATTGGGTGAAGTGCTACATGCACAACTTTGTAACTTTAGCATAAAGGGTCCATTGCATCAAAACCGCAATGGAGTTTTGTATAAGCACTTATGTCTGTTTATAGTGAGTCGTCCCTGCGGGACTGTAATGTAGGAGAGAGAGTATATTGCGTTGGTTGGATTCTATGAGACGGCTGGCATTCCCGCTAGGGCACCAAACCGGGGGCCATTCATAATGCATTTTCATCAGGTTTAAAAACTTAGGACTGTAACTATTCAAATAGACGAAGTAGGTGAGGTATGGCATGCGTTTGCGGATACAATTGTTAACAGGATGGACGAGTGACATACATGCTGCTATGGCAGGTAGGTGAGGAATGTCGTGGTACTCTGGTATAACCTGTTAACAGTCTGGGCTGCCAATCCCTGTATTAGTGTACTAATCAGGTGCGGTGCATCATGGTGTTGCAGTTTATACACCATCTAAACTATAATAATCCTGTTAGTTAAAACATGGCATGACACTACAGGTACATTTGCAAACAGTATGGATGGATGAGTATACTGCTAAGTAAGGTGTAGTGCGGCTCCGTGGCTGCATCTTATAATCCTTATTTTGATGGGGTTTTTAAACCAAAGTGGAACTCTAAGCAGCATAACATAATAGTGCTATGAGTCTTTACCTAGTTTACAGTCACATCTTTCGAGCCTGTTGAAAGACAATGGGGAGAATTTTGGCACTTAGAGCCCAGTCCCTCTGCCAGAGCCAGATTAAGGTTCCCCAGGGCCCTAGGCAGATGCCAGGAAGGGCCCCCTCATAGTTCCTTGGACTCTTTCTGTTAGTGTTGTATGTGTGTGAGAGAAAATGAGCTGTTTGTGTAGTGGCTGAGTGTTATGTGGCTGTGGAGGCAGCTGAGTGTGTTTGTGTGTGGAGGGGCATCTAGTTGTTGCCAACTGGTGTGTGCGTGTGTGTGTGTGTGTGTGTGTGTGTGGGAGGGGAGGCTATGTTGTGTGGCTGAGAATTGGGGGGATACTTTGGGGTGGTGTTTTCCCTAGTGATCCAACAGAGCTATGGAGGTCACAGGCTTGTGGTCAAAGGATCACAGCACACAGTCAAAGACTCTGAGCGCTGGCTGCGGACCTCTCAGTTATTGAGAAGCAGTGAGTGACCGCAAGAGAGCTCTTAAAGTTGTCTGCACCTAATGGACCACAAAGCTTCCTCAAAGAAATGAGGGGCTGTACGGCAGAATATAGAGATCTACTGATCTCCTTGCCGGCTCAAATAGAGCCCCCCAAGAATGGATGACCTTGGTCAGAAAAGTACTCGAGCAGCTCCTGAAAGTATAATGGATGTTAGAGACCACTAGAAACCCAAAGATGTATTGCACCCTAACCACTAGAAAAAGCTGCAGTGGGTACGATTCTTAAAGTATCTCTTTAATTGCAATCTCTCCAAAATATACAGACAAAGGGGTCAACTCATGCCTCGCGTATTTGTTTGAGAACATTACAATAGTATTTCTCAAGAACCAACTTAAAGGAACACACAAAGATCCATATTGTGTGCTGTAGTGGCTAGGGTGCAAGGCGTGCCGTGGTGCTCCTTGTCTCCACTACAACCTTTAGAAAGACACAGGCTCTCTATCTGAGCTAAGTACTCCTAGTACAATAACCACTGCAGTATGCTGAAGTGGTTATGATGCTTGGAGTATTCCTTTGAAGAAATGAAGGACTATTTTTTGAAACTAAAAACTTGTTTACAGACACAGTTCTATTGTACCAAGTTAAATGAATTTGCATAAGACGCCCTTGTCTGCGCCTTTCCAGAAGGCAGTTTCAATTATCAAAATTATTAATTGAAAATAATAAAAGGAAAAAAGCAGATAACCCAAAATGCATTGCAGTTCATCTTAAAGAGTTAGTCAGCGAAACAGTACGTTGATACATAGCATTGCTAGTTCTCTTTGAGACGCAGGTCTACTTTAAATAACTTAAAAAGCTATTGAAATCTTTAAGAAAACAGATTTTTTTTTTCTGTTTGTCATTTATTCTATTCCTTAAAACACTTGTGTTTGCTCTGTTCGGTTATCGATAGAGCAGCATGCAGCTTTGCATCGTAAATGTGTTTTGACCTTCATGTAAACCATTAAATCAAAAAACAGCTAGAAAAGCAATGTTACTGCATTTATTGTGAATTTAAAGAAATCTAAAGCTTCCTGTGCCATGTGGGATTGTTGGTTGCCTTATTACAGCTCTTCTGAGATCTAAAGTATATCAGGCATTATTTGATAGTTAATCATGAAATCGATTGAAATCAGCTAGTAGTTTGTAAGATCGTCTTACCTGTTTCTAAAGACGTTACCTATTGGGAGGGAGAATAATTCAGGCCTTGTTTGGCTTTTTGCTGGATTAAGAAAGATCACACGTTTACATTACTGTATCCAACATTGAATGAGAAGTGGTGTTTACAATATTATTTTAAAGGCCTAAAGATGGGTTCGCTCCCCTACCCGACAAAAACATTAAACTAAAGGCATTGCAAATTCTCTAGGGGCTTGCCACAGCAAAACAAATTCAGGCAAAATATTATTTAAGACAAAAGATTTGCACTTAATCAAATTTATATCATGGGCTCGATCACAATCTATTATTTGGATAATTATCCATCCCTTTCAACAGTCCCTATTTTGAGCCCAGAACCTTCTGTCTATCTTTTCTCTCCTATTCTCCTTCTTTTCTACAAGCTCCATACTGTTGCTGTGTCTGTGTGTGTCACAGAGCTCCACAGAAATAATACTCCCAGTAATGGGTCTTTAAACTACAGTACCCTAAGTGTGTTGAGAGTCTGTGTAAATAAGATACATTGTTCTTTGTTCTAAATTACATTTTATTTACTTAAATTGCCACACCCCCACTCACACTCCTAAAATTAAAGTGCCTCTCTGTGTCCATTTGAATTACAAATTCAATGAATTATTTCTGTGTCAATAGCTGCTGATGAACATCTAACAATGTTGATAGAATCGCCTAGTCATTTCTTGGATAATCTTTATTTATTTATATTTTTTTAATTATTTCTTTTTGTCTGTATATTGTTTACACTGTTTTTGTTCTGTATAATCTGCAAAATCTTAACTATAAAACTATCTGATTTTAAAAAGAAAATTATTTATTGCTACATAATAAATCAGTTGTTTCCTCATCAAATTCAACAGCCTAATGGATTTAGTAAACCGTGGACAACACATACATATATTACCCAAAAGTGATCAAACTTAACAACGGTTTTGTGCACAAGCAAAACAAACAACATTCATCCTTATAAATTAGCTTTGTGTAGGTAAGATTTTTTTAGAAATGCCATCTCCAGTTCAAAAAATACAAGGGATGCCCAGTTATTGGACTGGCTGTTGATAATACTTAACCTGTGATGTCATTGCCATATTTTGTTTTGTGATTAACGATTGTGATGACAAAAGATAAGCTCAGTTTTAATTTCGTAACAATTTTTATCTTCAGAGGCATTGGCAGCAGAAAATGGAGTGAAAACAAATACATAACATTTGCCAAGGGTTCACAAGCCATTATCAATCAAAAGCAACTGCGGGATAGTGATTAACATCCATGTTAGATATCATATGCATGGGACAACCTATTTTACAATTTTACAAATTCCATATTATTACTACGGACAGCTCAGATAGCAGAATTGTCCCCTTATCAAGTTTTATAGAGCTTTTATATAGATCTACCGATATTTCCAAAGAGGCTTCACAGGTGATCTTGCGAATGCACTAATGAGATACCATAAGCATTTATTGCATATCTTGAACTAAGATACCTGTTTCATCAGCCTGCTCTTTCGTCATGGAAAATGGCAAGATGTGGTGGAAGAAGCTTTGCTCACGTATGACACATTTGGCCAAAAAAAAATCAGATTTTACATGAGACAAGTAAATATCATGTATATGAGGTGGAATTTCAATGAGTCTTATGAGTTATTCCTTAAGAATTCTATGTTCACAAATAGCTCAAACGAGAGAGAGACACTTTAACAGATACAGCGAATCCTTTTAAAACCAAGAAATATTTAAATTCTCATCTCCTTCATGTGATTGAGCTCCACAACATGTATTGCATTTAATAAACACAGCGTATATACATGGTAGCTACTTAATCCCATTTGACCACTAGAAAACCTTCTTAATTTTTTATCATTAACCAAAGTAATTTGTCAATATCCGTTAGATAAATGTATCAGCTAAAATGAACAATGCTTTTACTAGAAACTAATTAGCGTTAAGTGACAAACACTCATCTTTCCACTGATCCTATTTAGTTCTAAATCGTTAGATGAGACCTCATTCCTCTTCTCCCACCAACTCTACCAATATTGACCTGAGATTCCTATTCATTTACACAGTCTTTTTAGACTTCCAATGGTATTGGCAAAGAATTAACCATCTTCAATTATATTTTCACCCTTGACCCTATTCCTTTTCTGTGAATAAATCATTTAGGAGTTAAATCACTTTTGGCTCCTGCAGGTTCTAGCAAGCTATTAACAGTGCAGGAGATAATACATTCTAAATTAAACAGACTGTGCAAAAAACAAAGTATAAACATTAGATCTCACTTTACAGGAAGTGTTTGGGAAGGTTGTGCAGGTCACGAGTGGTGTATACTGGTTTTGTGCTGCCCTAGGCAGGACACCCTAGCAGACACACACACTCAGACTCACACTAACAGACACACACTCACATTAACACTTTTTTTATTTAACCCCCCAGCCTCCTTACCTTTGGGAATGCTGGGGGGGGGGGTTCTCTTTCTCCCTGGGGGTCCAGTGGCTGCTGGGCAGGCGGCGGGTGAGGGAGCACTTCCTCTGAGCTATCTGCTCAGCTCCCTCGCGCGCCACAGAGTGAGGCTGGGAGCCGGAATATGACGTCATATTCCGGCTCCCAGCCTCACTCTGCGGCATGCGAGGGAGCTGAGCAGACCGCTCAGAGGAAGTGCTCCCTCGCCAGCCGCCCTCCTAGCCCAGCCCAGCATGTCAGTTAGCCGCAAGGCCGCAAGGCTAACAAGGCATTTGGGGGCTGCGTTTTTTGCCGCCCCCTGGAAAATGCCGCGCAAGGCAAATGCTTTGTTTGCCTCGCGGCTAAAACGTCCCTGCAGGTCACATGCAGGGAGGTATGACTAGGGCTTTATAGCTAAGGGCTCGGCTTGAGGAGCCATTATAAGGGCAGACAGAGAGGGTTCGGGCAGGTTATGGTTATAATACGACAGTTTGGGTTTGAATGAGACCAGTGAGAAGTAGATTTTAGTACTCAAGGCAGGAGATAATGGAAGGGATGAGGCATGTAAATAGAGTAGCTAGATAGGGATACCTAAGATAATGCAAAAAAAAATATATATTTTTTAAATATTAATTCAATAAATAAATGTTCAAAAACTAGTCAAGCATTAGGACAATGGAAATATGAATGAGGAGAGTTAAAAGGCAGGATACCAGAAGACAGAAGGGTCAAATCTAGCCAGGTCAGATGCCCTGATATTCCAATATCAATGTAAAAGTGCTAACTAGCTGCACAAACCATACCAGGACAATGGGAGTACATGGGTTCAGCATCATCACTGTTGTGCCGTCAACTTACCTATGCATGTTCAGCTGGGATATGACGTGTGATGGACATGAGGAAGTCATGAGATAACTTAATAGGTCAATAGGGTAGAACTCCAAAATTTCTAAATGGCACTATCAAAGGTTAACACTTTTTTTTAAGCAGTTCAGTCAAATTCCTACTCAGGTGAGATGTGCTACAGTCAAAATATTTAGTGGTGTTACTGTGAAGTGGAATATTTAGGAACAATAACAACATAGTCACTAAGTGGTAGATGACAGAACTGTCGAAGGGTGTAAAATTCATATTTAGAGTGCTCACTGTTAGAACTCGATGCTGTACTTTCACGAGATCAACCTAAAAATGGACAAGTAAGACAAGGTAAGTAATCTCACCGTCGGAAGACTTTGCGAATTCTGCAAAGTTCCAAGTCAGTGACAGTGTCGCTTTAAGAGCATTGCCTGAATGTACAGTGCCAACTGAAGAATTTTATGGAAAAGGAATAATTTGGTGCTGTAATAAATACATGAAATCTGTTAGGATTTTTATGGGGTGATAAATATTAAAAATAATTTAATAATTTTTATTATGTCTAAAATTGATAAATTGGCACTGTTCCCCTTGATTGATTTAAAGCGAAGAGTTGCCCACTATTTTAACTCTTATAGATCTTGGAGTACATTTTATTAGAGAATTTGTATTTCACACATTAATCACAAATTATAAAAGTATACTTTATTGTGACAAATAATTAATAATTTTAATATGTAAATACATGACAATAATCAGTGAATATTTAGGTATAACATAAGTATACATATGGCAACAGTTATGACACAATTACAGATAGTTCATAGCGGCATATCCACATACACTGAACAAAATTATAAACACAACACTTGTTTTTGCCCCCATTTTTCATGAGCTGAACTCAAAGATCGAAGACTTTTTCTATGCACACAAAAGCCTATTTCTCTCAAATATTGTTCACAAATCTGTCTAAATCTGTGTTAGTGAGCACCTTTGCAGAGATAATCCACCCACCTCACAGGTGTGACATATTAATATGCTAATGCATCTGAATGGAATGTATAACCATATATTTGCTTAGCTAATTATGATTCCTAAATTAGAAATCCGACCAGCTTTCATCCAGATATATTTTGCTGGTAGGAAAAATGTATTAATTTAATTAAATAAAACCAGCATATTTGCCAGCTTTCTTGGTAGAATTTCTTTAGTCTTGGCGATATATTCCATGAGTGGTGTATGTAAGTATGAGTGGAGAATTGTGAAAATAGGAAAGTTATCAGAGTTCTGATTAATAAGAATTCCAAAGTTTCAGTTGGAGTGTTTTTTCAGAGTTCCAGAATTAGTTGGAATAGATACAGAGAGTTATGTGTGTCCAGCTTTTGGTTAGTGATCAAAAACCTTGTCTCCTTGTTTATTGCTCCAAACCTCCGACTTAAGACCTTGTCTTCGGCTTGCTTCTCAAACTTTCTTTACGTCACTCATTTAAAGTGACCAGTAGAGTCAGGTGGGCGTATCTCCTCAACAGGTTATCATCTAGACTTTGGTCAATAGATGGTGTTGTAACACCACAAGAAATTCTCATCAGGAAGACCAACTACCACTTTGTATAAGGGGTTAATTGAATTATGTGATGTGTTTGACATCATAATCTTTTATGTTTTTGATCCCCGTCCATCACAGATTTGTAATTCTTCAAAGAATTTTTTATTCTTTTCAGCAAACTTACCGTCTGGGTTTTTGGGCCATAAAGTAGATTTTGACTCCTCTGCCCTTTCTTTTCCCTTCTCTAATATAATGGAACCTTGTAGCAATTCATTAAATTTAAAAAGTAAAATTACTTTTAGTATTATTATTATTTATTTGTGTGAAACTATGTGTAGTACTTAGTAATGTGACATCATGTGATATATACACACACATGTCTTTTACACACATTCAGCTAATATTAGTTTAATAATAATGACATTTCTTCATTTCTTCTATCCATGAATATTCAATATTATTAACATAGATACTATTTATATATGATTAAACTTTATTATAATTATAGTGTCACGGGTGGTGGTACAGAAACCGGGACCCCTGTATGCCTGATGTTCAGAGTAGGAGTCACCGCGTGGAGGTGGATTAGCAGGGTCTGGTGCAGGGTAACCGCACGCCCCCTGGTGTTGAGCACCAGCGTTTGTACAGGCACATACCAGAACCCTGATTCAGCTACTGCGGATCCCAAAAGCTAGGAGCAGGAATTAAGCAGACCTCCCAGGAGCTGAATAGGGAGGCTCAGCAGCAGGAGTGTATCCAGTACTGAAGCAAGGCAAGACTAGAGATAGGCACCA